AATCTGACAAGGATAAAATTGTTCATTTTGTCAAGATCTATCTGCCCTGATATTTTCAGACCAATCAGGCAACACGTTGTTGGGTTGCTGCCCCTGAATTGGTAATTTTACGAAAAATTTTGCAGCTTTTGGTTATTATCTTGAATATTATTATAGATAGAGATAAACTGTAAACAACAATAATGTACAGCAAAGTAAGATCTACAAATAAGTCAACATGACCAAAATTGTCAATTGACCCCTTAAGGAGTTATTGCCCTTTATAGTAAATTTTTTACAATTTTCATAAATTTTGTAAATTTTTGTAAATTTTTACAAAATATTTTCCACTGTAACTACTGGGCCAAGTTCATTATAGATAGAGATAATTGTAAGCAGCAAGAATGTTTAGTAAAGTAAGATCTACAAACACATCACCATCACCAAAACACAATTTTGTCATGAATCCATCTGTGTCCTTTGTTTAATATGCACATAGACCAAGGTGAGCGACACAGGCTCTTTAGAGCCTCTAGTTCTTGGACATGATACATCTGCATTTTTTGTTGAAATGATGATAACTAGCTTAAATAGTTTAAACCTAACAGACGATTATATCCATGTTTTTGGACTATTTTTAATTCCTATGCTGGCTTTATCGCTTCAAAAAGATTCGAAATGCCTTCATTTATAAACTAACTAGCAGATCTTCTTGAACACATGTTCAACACAAAAATCATTTAAAAAGAAAAGCTCCATAGAATATGGAAGAAGGATATTTTTTACTGATTTTTGCGTGAAGATTTTTCTAGTTAGTTTACCGGTATATATGAAGGCCTTTCTGATCTTCTTGAAGCGATAAAGCCAGCACAAGAATTAAACATAGTCCAAACGTTTTTACATCTACAGTTATTTAGATACTATAACAGATACGGCCTGCTTGGCTTTTACAAAGTTAATTACTAAAACTCAACGGACTTTGGGGCAGCATTTATTCCGAAATCTATGTTTTCATTTTTTAAAAGGGGACCAACACATACAAGTCATTTAAAAAGGGGGGTGGGGGTGGGGGGGGGGTTCCAACCATATGTTTCCATACAAAAGCAATAACTGTCAAACAAATAGGGGGTTTCACCCCCGGGACCGCCCCCCTATGGTCACTAACTATTGATCACTAATTATAACATTGTATGATTATAATTATTTAACATGTATATGAACATAAAGGTTGGAAGTAAGAGTTGTCTTTCTTTAATAATCACCCATTTAAGTAGTACAAATTAATCACTAGACTAAGTGATTTAATTTTATTGTAGCTTTAAGTATAGAATACTAATGATCCAGGAACTAATTATGTTGCTAAAATTATCAGAACCAACATCTGTATTGATAGGATGACCAGGTCATGTCAGGTGATGACCTTGTACTAAATCTAGGATAATGACATAAAAATCACTTGTTCAAGTATCATACCTCAATTTCCTTCCAAAAATTCACTTCTTTAAGTATCATTATTTTAATAACCCCCACTAATTTCAACACCCCCGAACAGTGAAATTTTGATCGCGAACAGTAGAATTTTATTACATAATCTTTAAGATGAAACCTTGAATTTTACAGGAAAAATACTCCCACTGCTGGGAAAAATCTGTTGAGAAAGTATCAGTTCATTATGTAAAGCCATTTTTATAGCATTTTTTCAAGTAAAATAGAATTTGCAGCTAAATGATTGCATCAAAGGCATAAACCTTGATGCTTAAAAGAGGCAAAAAGTTCATTTTTTTCAATATTACTAATGAAAAGATATTATCTAAAGCTATGTGTTTAAAATTTTGGTAAAACTACAAAATCACAATTTGTGACAAAACTTCTAATTTGCTACTTAAATAAGTGATTTAAAAATCACTTATTTCAATAAGTCCCCTGACTGATAGATACACAGCGACCTCGTGCGGAATATTGTGTATCTATTTCATTCTTGATTTGTATAACTTCTTGATATGTAAAACTTCTTGATTTGTAACTTGTTGATTTTTAACTTGTAGTTTTTCTTGAGAAACGGAACTTCTCATTGGCTGGCAGCATTAACAATTACACTGACACATTCTCCCAAAACGTGACTCAAACAAATAACATTTAAAAAATTAAGAAATGTAGAGTTTCATGTAACGAACGAAGAAAATATGTTAACAAATTAAGAAATTGCAAATACACATTAAAAAGTTACATATTCATCAAATCAAGAAATGTAGAAATTCATGTAACGGATGTAAAAATACATGTTACAAATTAAGAATTACATTTTACAAATAAAGAAATTGCATGATACAAATTATGAAATTGCATGTTACAAATAAAGAAATGTATAATTATGGCGGATATTCCCTTCCATAAAAATATACTCATGCAAAAGGTAGTCTATATAAAAAAGAAGATGTGGTATGATTGCTAATGAAAAAACTCTCCACAAGAGACCAAATGACACAGAAAAATAATCATGATAATGGAATATGAAGACAGCTCTCTCACAAGCAAAATAACCCTAACTGTAAAAATATAAGGGCATACACTACAGGCACGGGGACACATTCTACTGCATCCACACAGCACGAGTAACAAACCCTGCAGTAAATATAAAAGAAGATGTGGTATGATTGCCAATGAGAACTCTCCACAAGAGTATTTAATTTATTATAGCAAGTGCCCAACCCTTAAATAAGTGAAACATTACAAAAATTGTCAGTTGACTCCTTATTGAAGTTATTGCCCTTTAATGACAATTTTTCCAAATATTTTGCATTTATTGCCGTAGAGTAGGGGGCATTAAGTTTTACCCTTGTCCGTCGGTACTTCCCAAAGTTGGTTTCCGTTCTCTAACTTAAGTTTGCCTCAACCAAATGTTATGAAACTTATTCCAAATGCTTATTACCACAAAACACAGATCAAGTTTGAATTTTGGTGGCGTCACTTTAACCGTTGGAGAGTTATATTATGCCCCTTTACAAATGGAAAAATTGCTGAATTTTTCGTTTCCGTTCTCTAACTTTAGTTTGCCTCAACCAAATGTTATGAAATGTATACACAATGCTAATTACCACAAAACACAGATCAAGTTTGAATTTTGGTGGCATCACTCTAACCGTTATAGAGTTATGCCCCTTTACAAATGGAAAAATTGCTGAATTTTTCGTTTCCGTTCTCTAACTTAAGTTTGCCTCAACCAAATGTTATGAAACTTATACACAAATCATATTTATATACATATTTTTGATAATTTTAATCTTTTTGATTAAACTAATTAGATGCAATCTGCTGAAATTTATGAAAATAACTTCAAATAGACCGATCAATGTCCGGTACATATTAGTTTACCTGTTACCTGAACAGGTAAATTTCAACTGCCTGACAACTTATTAGCCTTGATTGTAATGAGAGGGTATTAAAGTAGGATTTGTTTTGATAGTACTTATTCACCATATCACTTTTATGACGGGAAATGTGGTTGTTTAAGGCAAAAGGTCGGGTCCAAAAGATCGCAAAAACTTCATTTTATTTCTGAATTATGTTAAAATGACAAACCTACGTTAAATGTCCGTTTCAGGTTTCACACAACAAGTGCCCCAAAATGTAACTGCATTTGATACGTTACACGATAGAAACATATTGATAACAATTAAAAAAGTAATTAAAATCAAATGTTATAGTAAATAAAAATAAATTAGGCCAGGGCACCTGACGAGGATGAACGGCCTTGGTCGAACTTGACCTAAATGATATCCGAAACACCAGGTGTAATATCATCAAATTAAAGAAATTCATAGACGACCAGTTGATTACCACAGATCATTTACGTTGGGAAAATCCTTTCAAATAAATAGATGTGTAAAAGTTTATAATTAACCACAGAACAATCTACCGAGAAAAGGTCAAATCAGGTTTTAACAGTTAAAGATAATATATATAATTAAAGTAAATATATATAAGCGAAACATGCTATATATATGAATCACCAAATCATGCATAAACAGAACAATAACAGAATAAAACTGTAATTGAAGACAAACATTTAAATGCATATAAAATTGCATATAAAGTATACACAGCGATACATGGAAAATCATTATAGAAACTCGATACAGACAAGAAATAAAATCTCCTATAGACAATGGTATTAGTAAGTTTTGCTGGGATTGGTTCATGGACACGACTATTTATAAAATATTAGCCTTGATTGTAATGAGAGGGTATTAAAGTAGGATTTGTTTTGATAGTACTTATTCACCATATCACTTTTATGACGGGAAATGTGGTTGTTTAAGGCAAAAGGTCGGGTCCAAAAGATCGCAAAAACTTCATTTTTTTTCTGAATTATGTTAAAATGACAAACCTACGTTAAATGTCCGTTTCAGGTTTCACACAACAAGTCATATTTATAATTGATCGGTCATGTCTGGAAAATACGACCGTTTTGGAAGCCCTGTACTGTACACAATACTTATTACCACAACCATAACTTTATAAGATATGCAAACAGGGCCTCATCTGTGTCCCATGGACACATTCCCCATTTATTTAAAACTTTGATAGATTGATAGAAACTTTATATAGCAAAAATTATCAGCAAGACAAGATCTACAAATAAGCCATCATGACTGAAATCTGTAAGAGACTTTTATTGAAGTTATTTCCCTTTAAAGATATTTTTACCATTTTATGGAATTTGTGCCTCTTATTTTGAAAAGTGTAATAGTAATAAATTTACAATGTAGATAGAAACTTTTAAAAGCAAACATGATCAGCAGGACAAGATCTACAAATATGTCAACATGACTGAAATTTTTCAGTTAACTCTTTAGAGAGTTGTTACCTTTTCATGATGATTATTACCAAAAAATGGCTACTGTTGAAGATGTAGGTGGGTGTGACAGGTTCTTTAGAGTCTCTATCATGTCTATTTAAATACTTACTAGGAAGATTAAAATTCAACATTTGAAATGAAAAGAAAACACTTTATATTTCAGAAAAGCAGAAGAATTGTTACAACTGGTTGATATAAGAGTTGGAAGCCAAAGTTTAACTGTTCTCAATCTTACGGGATCATGTTGTGTAGTTATGTGTATAGACTTGGCTGCTACTGGTTCAGGACAACCAGTAAATAAAGTAAATTTTAACGCTATTTGCTAAAATTTTGCTTTGATTTTTTGGGGGGGATAATTTTTTAGATCATGCTACTCGAGTGATATGGGTTTTTCTCAGTCATATAGAAAGATAATGTATGATGTCATATGCCTACATTGCATAGGAAAACTTGATAAAAAGATGATCAAACTCAGGTGTTACTTGGCTACATCTCATCTCAGGGCTGTCATTGAGATTGTGGATGAAAAATACACTCTTGTTTAAAAAAAACTATTGATAATCTATAAATATCTCCACATTTTTTACTTATTTACTTAATATGTAGTCATTGTACTTATGTGTATATACTTATCTGCTCCTGCAGGAGGAACTGTTTTACCCCTGTCTGTCCATCTGTATGTTCGTCTGTCCCATAAAATTTCTGTTGCTTTCTTCTCCGGCTTTACAAATCAGAGCTTCCTTAAATTATTTACATTGACATATCCATTGCTCTTCAACTTTCTGTTTGACAAATGCTTAAAGAATGTGTATCATTAGTGAGCAATAGCTCACAGTTCTACTTGTTCAGATTGATATGTTTCTTTGGCAGATGTAAGTTTGTTAGGTTCGTTGTTAAAGCTCTCACAGTGACTATATTTAATTATCTACAAGTATTTCCTAGAAAATTGTCCCTCCCATTACCCCTTTTCCCATTTCAACAAAATTGTATTGTAGTTTGCTTATCATTCATTTGCAAATACTTCATGTATATTCAAGATGAGATAAAATTGAGAATGGAAATGGGGAATGTGTCAAAGAGACAACAACCCGACCTAAGAGCAGAAAACAGCCGAAGGCCACCTATTGGTTTCAACACAGTGAGAAAATCCCACACCCGGAGGCGGGCTTTAGCTGGCCCCTAAACAAAAATGTGTAATATTTCAATGAAAATGGATGTCACACTAAACTCCAAAACATATAAATGAACTAGAATTAAAAAACATACAAGACTAACAAAGGCCAGAATAGGTAACAAAAGAAACTAAGCAAAATGACAATGATACATAAATTAACAAAGGACTACTAGCAGTTACTGACATGCCAGCTCCAGACCTCAATTAAACTGATTGAAAGATTATTTCTTCATCATATGAATATCAAGCACAATCCCTCCCATTAGGGGTTTAGTATCAGACCATCATAAAATATATGAGAAAAACATAACCCATATCATGCCAACAACTGGTTTTAGAATTAATGTACACATTATTAAAAAAAAAAATTGGTAGATTTTGTAAAGAAGGTCAGACTGCCATTGGAAATGGAGGATGTGCATATGTGCAATTTGTATAATTATATGTATCTTTTATTTTATTCCTAAATTTGGTACAGTGTCAAAGTTTACTTGTTAAATCATGTAGGCCACATGCAGCTATCTGTTGTGAATCAACTTTCTGCCTCAATAAAATAGAGTAGGTACGTAGATCATGTAGATACAAGGATTTTATTTTTTAAAAAGTTTAACATAGACTTTAAAGGGAAATGATCTGTACTCTAACATGTTTAACAGTGCTCAACCTAAATTACTGGACTTAACAGTCCGTTTACCAAAAATGTCCTTAAAATATATTATGGTAGGCATGAAAATTTAGGGTAGATAGGGAGACAGGAAACAGAACTATATTTTTTTTGCCTTATATGTACCCTATCCAGTAGTCCACCAGATTTTTTTACCATTTAACCAATGTAACACTTAAATAACAACTTTATGATTTTGTTTTTATTACCCTTAACATAAACATGATAAAGACAAATTGAAGGACATCACAGTTGTATAGCAGAACTTATTATATAATTATTTTTTTCAGGGTGAAGCCTTGAGACTATCTGGAGTGAATAAAAAGATTTATAGAAATGGTCTTAAAACTCTTGAAAGTATGTTAGGCTTAGAAGAACAGACCACAATCAGAGATCTGGCAATAAAATTTGGTTGTACTGGAGCTGCAGATTTGGCATGTCAAGTTTTACAATCGTAAGGCCATTTAATCACTTATAATCTCAAAAGGTAGAAGAGCTATAGAGACCTTATGTTTTCATATGTTCTTAATATCATTTTCATTGTTTAATGACTACACTTTAGATAGATTGACTGATGGTTGATGTACATGTTTACTCCACGAGTAACATGGAATGGAATGAGAAAAGGGTTGCAATTGGACATAAAAGAATTTTGACTGCCACAAAAAATGTATGGAGGGTTGAGTAGGTGCACCGTGCAGAAAATTTTGTTTCAACAATGTCCACAATTGAGCCTACTTATAGCAAATGATGCCACAGGGTCCATTTTTGTACTAGAAGTGTGGTTCTTAATAAACTCAGTCCAACCATTTCATCCTTTCCATCATTACATCCTGTGACACAATGGTAAGCCCTTAAAGAAGGAAGAGGTCATACAGAAAGGTTAGGTCCAATTATATACCTCCATGGTTCCCTCAGGTGAATGTAATAAAAAGATGGCTGTAACTACTGAATATAGCTTTATTCAGTTCTTTATAAGAGAATAAATTAACATATTTAAAAAAAAAAAATTAAATAGTTGCTGCCAGATATCTGGTAAACACCTTATCTCCTTTGAAAAGTATAGTACATTGTATTTGATTCTATCCATAATCAGAAATAGCTACCACCGTTACTAAAAAATATTGAAATAAAAAAAAATCAGAATATCTTGTATTAGACCTGTGGCTACAAAGATTTTGAGAAATAATTTATTTATGATCCTGTTTTAATAAAGATATTAGGATTATTGTTCCCTAGCTACCAGCATATATGAGGACCACATTATAAATGTATGAAATTTGACTTTTAGAAAGTGTTTTACACCAACAGATGTTGTTAATTTTAGTATAAAGCCTACAGGAACAATAGGATACAGATAATATTCTGTTGTTGTGGTTCTCTTTGAAAACTATGTTGGATGGCAAAAGACAAAAAATAAAATTTGATTTTTATCTCGCCTGCGATGAAAGTTGCTGATTTTGAGACATAGGGATTAAAATCCAGCAACAGTGGCGGCAAAAGAGTAAACTCTTTGTATTAAGCTTTATATTTCAGAAGGTAGATGACCTGGATGCTTCATACCTTGTATGCAGATACCTTATGTTATGAAATTTCTGTCTGTCACATGTTCATTGTCCTTGACCTCATTTTCATGGTTAAGTGACTGCTTGAAAAAAATTGTAGTTTTGTTGTCATTTTAAAATAATCACTTATTATGAATAATAAGATTACAATATTTGGTATGTGGGATCCTTTCAAGGTCTTCATGTCTGTCTGACAGGTTGCACCTGACCTCAACATCATTGCATGGATCAGTTATCAAGGTTTAAGTTACGTGATTAGATCAACTATATTTGGTGTATGGAATGATTGTAAGCTGTACATGTTTGACTGGCAGGTTTCATCTAACCCTTGACCTTTATTTTCTTGTTCATTGAACGATATTTAGTTTTTGTGACTTGGTCTTTTTCTTAGATACTATAGGCAATAGGGCCACTATATTTGGTGTATGGCTTGATCGGAAGGTGTACATGTCAGACTATTAGGTTTCAATTATGACCTTGACCTTTATTTCATAGTTCATTGGTCAATGTTAAAATTTCATGGTTTTGTCACTTTATCCGATACTATAACCAATAGGTCAACTATATTTGGTGTATGGAATGATTGTAAGGTGTACATGTCTGTCTGGCAGTGTTCATGTGACCTTTACCTCATTTTCATGGTTCATTGGTTGATTTTAATTTTTCATGGTTTTGTCAGTTGATTAGAATAGGTCAACTATATTTGATGTATGAAATTATTAGAAGGTGAGCATATGTCTGATAGGGTTTATTTTGACCTTGACCTCATTATTATTATTCAATTATAATTGAAAAATAAGTAAGCGAGACTTTTCAGCATGTCCACTATTGTTTGTGTTTCAAATATTTATAAAAAACAGAATATTGAAAGAATATTTAATTTATAGCAGTCAGCTAGTTTCAATTTTTTCAAAATAAGCCCCAAAATATTTCTGCTGTATTATTGGCTTGCAAGTCTGAATTCATGCGACCTTCAATTGACACTTAGCTGTAGAATGGTTACCGGGTATGTTTGTGCTTAAAATGTTCAGAAATTAAAAAGAAAATAATGTCAACATTGAAAAGTGAATTCGTTGACTAATTTGGCCCACAAAAAAATCATTGTTATACAGGTAAAATGATGATTACATATTTTTTCAATCCATGACATTAAATCAAACAGACCTAGAAAAATCGTCATTGTACAATTCCATGTGTTTGTCTGTCTCTTTATATTTACAGATATATTTATATCCAGTCATAGGTGGAGGGTTGGGGCCTTCAAGATAGTTTAACCCTGCCACATTCTGTATGTGCCTATCCCAAGTCAGGATCCTGTAATTCAGTGGTTGTTGTTTGTTGCTGTATGTCATATTTGTTTTTCGTTCATTATTTTGTACATAAATCAGACCTTTAGTTTTCTTGTTTGAATTGTTTTACATTTATCATTTCAGGGCCTTTTATAGCTGACTATGTGATATGAGTTTTGCTCATTTTTGAAGGCCCTATGGTGACCTATAGTTGTTAATTTCTGCGTCATTTGGTCTCTTGTGGAGAGTTGTCTCATTGGCAATCATACCACTTCTTTTTATTTTTTATATATACTAGAAAAAACCCGCTTGAAGACTACTTGAAATGTTTGTGGTGATACACAGCTTGGGTTCATGTTTCTCAAACTGTTTTTATGCACTGATGCATTAGGTTGATAGTTTTGATTAGTTTGCCAGTTCTTCTTCCATAGGAGTTTGAATGTCCAATTAGTAGCTTCTGTCTCGGTTTTACACGGAGAAAATAACTCAGAGAAGAAGAAGATATGATTAAAACATTTCTCAGTGGTGCTAGTTTGTAGTATTTTTTTTTTTTTTGGAATGGTGCGAGTCAAGTTCTGTCTCTGTGTGATACGGGTGCTCCAAGAACGGAGGAAATAACTAAGAGAAGACAATCTAGAACTCTCTGATGATTTAAAACATTTCTTCAGTGGTGCGAGTATGAGTATTTTTTTTCGAATGGTGCTAGTTCTGTATCTGTGTGTCATGGGTGATCTGAGAAAGGAGAAATTTACTAAGAGAAGAAGAAACCAATCTAATGATTAAACACATTTCTTCGAGTTTGTTATATTTCTTTTTTGTTTTTTTTAGTGGTGCGAGTTTGATAAAGTGATGCAAGTTGTAATAATTAGTGAGAGTGTTTGAGTGGTGCGAGTTGGCTGTGGTCATAAATTCAATACAAAACCATTTCCGCCTGCTTACAAAACGTAGACGGTAAGGAACTAGCTACGGAACTTTATTTTGGGTTTAATTAATTAAGCTATGCTAATTAAAGTAATTACTATATGAAGTTATAAAGTACATAACATATACTAACTATTTATTATTATATAATACTTCAGACGATCGTCGGCTCGGAGACAAACCGGCTAAAAAAATTTGGTCTACAAAAAGTAAACTGAGCGTGCACGAAAGCCTATAACATGTATAAGACACAGATCGATAACGGTCTCAGAATTTGGATATTTTCTCAAAAATTGGCGTTTTCTGTGGAAAAAAGATTATTTCAAAGACAAATTTAAGAAGTACATAACACTACATTTATACGTCATATCACAAATTTTTCCGACTTTGTATGGTTTCAGAGGAGTTGCGGCTCAATGAAATTGGTCTCTTCCTTTAGTAGTATAGATATGACCATGGACAGTCTTTGGAGATCATATAGATGGTTATTTATATGACATCTAGTCTAAAATATGCACAGAAGGCTGATGGATCCATGCATTGTTAATTGTTTCTTTTGGACTTTTTGTAATTTGGTTATACGTTTTAGTATCTTATAATTCAAATATGAAAATTTGAGTCAAATTGGTGAACATGAATTTGAAAGCTAATGTTCCTTTAACATGATTACAGATATGAACAGTCTTTCAGTGGAGCCGATATGGATTTCTCTGGATCACTCTTTATGGCTTCATCTCTTTGTGCAGCATGCAGGTAAATGTATTTGTGAAATAAAAAATCACTAATAATGTTTTAATTTTCATATGTACAACCAAAAGATAATCCAGAATATTGATGGAATGAATGGCTTATATTCATGTAGGTATAACTGCTGTGACATTCTTTATTTCCAAAACAGGTATCTTTTATTCTGAAATTAATTCTTTTTCATTTGGGTCGTATTTGGAAAAAGAAATTGCCTTTTTTTCTTGTTTTGTTCACTGAAAAACTAAAATCAGTGAAATTCATATCAATAAAAATATTTTTGATGTATGAAAATTTAAATTATCAAAATTTTTCAAAAATCACATTTTGTTTTATGTGCTCAAAGATGTTGAAATGCATCTGTACTGTCAGTACTGACTGGCAAATTGTGACGAGGACCACCAGAAATTAGGAGTGTTTTATAATCTACATTGTTCTACATAAAATGCTACATAAGCCACAAGGACTGACAAACTCAAATAGATTTCAACAACAAAGTATTATAGTAACAACTTATTGAAAAAACACTTAACATTAATTATAAAAGATTTTATTTACACTCAATTTGCAGAGTATTAAAAATTAAAGTTGACAGAACAAAACTGATAGAGGTTTGCAGTATAAAGAGGACAACATTTGACAAATTGACAACAGATTTGGAAAAGATAGCTACAAAGTTGATTGGTTAGTTTGTGTGTACATAAGATATCCAGTTTTTATACGCCCGTCAAATTTTTGACGGGACGTATTATGTTATACAAATGTCCGGCGTCCGTCCGTCTGTCTGTCCATCTGTCCATCTGTCCGTCTGTCCGTCCGTCTGTCTGTCCGTCTGTCTGTCCGGTGTAAACATGTCGCACCGTAACTTGAGAATGACTTATCCAAATTTCATGAAACTTAACATAGTTGTTTCTTATGATGGTCAAACGATCTGTATACTTTTTGGTGAAAATAAGTTTAGACCTTTTTGAGTTACGGGACTTAGTAACTAAAACAGGTGTGTGTTTTTTTTCACATGTCACGCTGTATCTCAAAAACAATTTATGATTATTGCTTAAAATTTTACACACTTCTTAGTTATATTAATCTTAAGATCTGTATACTTTTTGGTGATGATTCAAAATTTTATTTTTGAGTTATTGAGTATTTTGTTAAAAAAGGGGGAGGGGTTTTTCACATGTCGCGCCGTATCTCAAAAACAGTTTATGATTATTGCTTAAAACTTTACACACTTCTTAGTTATATTAACCTTAAGATCTGTATACTTTTTGGTGATGATTCAAAATTTTATTTTTGAGTTATTGAGTATTTTGTTAAAAAAGGGGGAGGGGTTTTTCACATGTCGCGCCGTATCTCAAAAACAGTTTATGATTATTGCTTAAAACTTTACACACTTCTTAGTTATATTAACCTTAAGATCTGTATACTTTTTGGTGATGATTCAAAATTTTATTTTTGAGTTATTGAGTATTTTGTAAAAAAAGGGGGAGGGGTTTTTCACGTCGCGCCATATCTCAAAAACGATTTATGATTATTGCTTAAAATTTTACACACTTCTTAGTTATATTAATCTAAAGATCTGTATACTTTTTGGTTTTGATTCAAAATTTTTTTTTTGAGATATTGATTTTTTTTTTAAAAGGGGTGTTTCACATGTCGCGCCGTATCTCAAAAACGATTTATGATTATTGCTTAAAATTTTACACACTTCTTAGTTATATTAATCTAAAGATCTGAATATTTTTTGGTTTTGATTCAAAATTTTATTTTAGAGATATTGAGTTTTTTGTAAAAAAAAAAAAGGGTGTTTTAGCATGTCACGCCGTATGTCAGAAACTATTTATGCTTATTGCATAAAAATTCACACACAAGAAGACGGGCGTATCATGCGCTCATGGCGCAGCTGTTTATTTACTTACTTACCTCAAATCTGAGGTCATTAATTGTGAATTTATTATATTATATTTTCTTCTTATATTACTGATTAGATTGCAAGTGGGAATTTGAGATGGGAACATGGAGGTTGAAATTTTTTGGACATTTTTCTAGGCATTTGCCTTGTATTTCTCACATGCAAATTAAGGCAATGAAATGATTTAAAGGAAACGTTACACAATTTTTTTTTTTTTTTTTTTTTATTATTAAATCAATAAACATGATAAATATTAGTCTTAAAACATGCTTTGTACAATTTTGCTGGTCAAAACCTGATCAATCGGCATTTTTTAGGTCAAAGAATCCAGCGCTTGTCATAATGAATGATTTTTAATTAGATAATGATCACGTGATCGTGCTTACGTCACTGGTTACAAGCTGGGAAAATGTGTCAAACTGGACGATGTCGATCACTTTCTGCACAATTACACTAAGGACGGTATTGACAGCACTTTTCCCGATAACTGACAAACTACGAAGACAATTGACCTCATCAATTTGAGCCATTGTGTGTGGAAAATAACCATGAAAAGGACATAAATTCTTGACGCGAAGAGTCCAACAAGGTGATTTTTCTGACAATACCGGTCGGATTGTTACCATACATATGGGTTCATCTGATCAGAGACATATATACACATATGTGTATATATGTCTCTGGTCTGATGAATAAATTTAATAAACCGCTTTCTGCATTTTCTTTATTTAGATAAAACTACTTTTAATTATGATTGAAAATATAAATTTCTAATTACTGATGATCAAATTGTTCTTTTTTCTCTCTGTTAACGTTATAATTATGTGTGCGACAGAAGCAGAAAGAAAAAAAGGGTACTTTTTTTTTGATTTTTTGTTGTTGTTATGTTTGGACACTTAATAGGTATAAATTATCATCAAAAGTTATGTTTATATTTTTTTACCATGCATCACACTATTTCTGCATTAGGAAAATTATTCAATTAACAATGTTATTACTTCCCCCTTTTGTGTAAACATTTATTGGAGGCTGTTGTTTTAGTAATAAAATTTTGACACCTATAGCATAATTGACCTGGTGAAAGGTTAAAAGGCACTTGTAGTGTGATTTAGTCACGTGTTATGTTATTTACTTTTTAAAACCATACATTTTAAAGAAAAAATATTTATGTAAAAATAATAAATATAGCAATACTACACTTCTAAAGTATGCAATTCCATCCAGACCCTTATAAATCTAACTTCAAATTTAAGGAATTCCACAAAGTTAATTCAAATTCACATATTTCCACCCTTATCTCCCAATTATCATTTAGCAATCAATTTGTTTATTGCTACCAGCAAAATGCTCGAGTTCAGGAATATATTCACAACTCATAATGTTCTTTTTGAAAACATTTCTTCAAAAAGGGGTCATTTAAAAAAAAAACATGATTTATGTATTAGTTGAACTTGGCTTTGATCTAGCTTACAGTATTTGTGCTTTGTCTCTATTGTTTTACGTTAGTGGTTTCTGTACTTCGTACCGATCTTTTGAGTAAGACTGGTTTTTATAATTCTCATATACTGCTGTAAGACCACTGTCACACGTTAGGGGGAAAAGGGGGGGAGGGGGGGTGTAGGCGCTCACAAACATTTACCCCCGCCACATTCTGTATGTGCCTGTCTTAAAGCAAGAGCATGTAGATCTGGTTGTCGTTGGTTCATGACTGTCATATTTTTTCTTCAGAAATTATTTTGTTATAAATAAGGTTGTTAGTTTTCTCGTTTAAAATGTTTCACATTTTTACATGTTGAAACCTTTTATAGCTGAATATACGGGACGGGGTTTTCTCATTGTGGAGGCCGTACGGTTATACCAAATAATTGGTTCAAACGAAACTTTTTTCATTTATAATTAAGTTTCCATTTTAAAAAGAAATGTTTTTCATCATCTGATTCTTTACCAACTAGAAAGTCAATAATTATATTCGATGTTCAATATATGAATGTAATTGAAAGCCTTATGATTCACATACTCGTATTATTTCCTTGTTTGCTTTTTATGCTTTTAATACAAAGAATATGTGTGAGTGTGTGTGTGTGTGTGTGTGTGGTGGTCGGTAAATTAATGAGAGTGACAAGCTCAAAGTTTTTTTGATAGTCCAATATAGTTTAAAAGTAATTTAATTTCATGTACTAGTATCGACTTTTAATTTAAAAATGTCAACAATAGGGGTATGTGGCAAAACAGAGTTTTGGCACGCCACAGTTGAAAGTGGGAGGGGTTCAAAGGGGGGAGGGGGTAATTGCCGTTCATCCAAGCTTTTAAACCAGCATTGTGTATCTTTTCTTTTAATTTATCGAGCTTTATGCCTAACAATTTCTTATGAAGTTATAAACTTGCAAGCATACAAGAATATTACTTTTCCATCTCAAGAAGAAGTCAATTAAAAAAATGCATCTGTAATAAACCTTTTTATATCTGCATATTCTTAAAAGCAATAAAAATAAGATCTATATACAGGTTGTCTATTAGTTATCAACGCTGGTTAGGGTATTTAATTGGTGGTGTATAGGGTATTGTATGGTCGTACTTCAGGTATTTATTAAATATCAGGTAGTTGTACCTGTATTACTGTAACAATAATATATTCCAATATCACCTGTGCCCTCGGCAAAACCAACATCAAGGATGTACACGAAGAGCTTATGAAGTAATATTGCGTAATAACTATGTCTTATCAATCCCACATGTGGCGTGACATCTGAATCTTACAACTTTAAACGGGACCTGAAATTGTGAATTTCAATCACCTATACCGCACACCTGTGAACTATGATGAACTCCTGGCATGACACCCGAGACCCCAACTCTGAATTCCTTAAGAAAGTGGGCGGAAAGAAGTGTAGTTTCTTGTTAAAAAGTCCTATGTTTACACCTTCTAAGTCTGCGTGTCATTTGGAAAACAGAAAATATCATGTCATTATTCTTTTTAATTATATTGTTGAATCCATCGTCTTCACACATAATCATTGTTTATCATTGTCACGTTTTGTTGTATAATAATAGAAACTAAATTTGCGCTGTACCCATTTGTCAATATGAATGAAAGTAACCAGTGACGTAGTAGCCTCGTTCTGATGGACTTCCGGGATGGAAATATGCATATTTGACAGATCGATAAATCGTTGCATTAAAATACATATTTAACCAAATATTTGACACTTAAATTACTATCGATGTATTTTTGGGGAATGTTATGTATAAATAAACATTTTGAAACAAAAATTGAAAATTGTGTCATGTCTCCTTTAAAAACAGAGTTCAACTTAAAAAATATCAACCACTTTTCTGTTCTGACATCCTCACCTTGCTGTAAACTTGTGGTCAGATGACATTACCCATATAAGTTGATATTTCATGCAGATGACATGATATTGTTCCCAATCATGCCTTACTTTCTGATGTAATCATGTGACTGGTGGGTATTAAATGAGATCAGATCAGGAGAAAAGGACTTTCTCAGAAGTACTGTATTACATCAAAATAGTAAAACTTTACAAAGATCAAACATTTTCAAAATAAATCCAATGACTTCACTCCTCTGATGTCATACAACAATGGTGTTGTCAAGACAACAACGATAATGTAGCATCACTACAAACTGCTCAGAGTCTGAAAAGACCAGTTTTTGTGCTCGACCAGTAAAGTCGAGCACAGATTTTACTCGACTTGTCTCGACAGTACTTAACTGTACTCGACTTTGGTCTCGACTTTAATAAGTCTGATT